TTAATACAGTGCAGGAAAAGATTTCAAGTCTGCATAGTAACAAAATATCTGTCAGGCACCATCACCAAAATTTAGTCTAACATACACATGCACAATGGCTGTGGGCACATATCCTGCCATTTCAACAGCAAATGTGCTCAAGGTGCAGCTCATCTGATCTCAAAAGCTAAACAGTGTTCACATGGGCCTCTGAGAGCATTCAAAACACAGAATAAGACATGAAGTGTAAGAAACCCTGGCTCCTGGAGTTCTGGCTGAAAGGAGCTTTTAAAGAGCATCTAAAACAGTTTTGCCAAACACAATGTATTGAAAGTGCCTGAAGGAGCATTGTGTGTGGTGTCATAGGGGAAGTCAAGGAACAAGGAGCAGCTGGTCTCAGCTGCAGGTTAGGACACTCGGGATGGCAATGTGTGACAAAGTGAGTGCCACAGCTCTGCTGCTGTGCAGGACTGCCTGAGATCCCTTTGCTCCTACTGTACCAGACTATTTTGGAAGGGCTAAACTGAGGCTGAAATAGTGCTCAAGCAAGCCAGGTAACTTTCACCTCCTATAAACATCTCTCTATTTATATATATATGTAACTATGTATACCTATACACCTCCTGGCCCACCTGGTCTCTCCTGTATGCATCAGATGAATGCCTCATTATCAGATTCCTCCGCTTGCTTCCCAGTAGACTTAAATTACCATGTTAAATAGGATAATAATAAACACTGGCCTTTAACTACAGCACATCCTTGTTCACTCAGCAGCCTCCCTCTAATCTGATAAAGGGTCTGTAAAAGGCTTCAAGGAAACACGGAGTCAGTTGTTACACAGGTGGCTCTCCCTGCTTTCTGCAGTGTGATTACTACGGCAGCACAAAGAGATTCAGGCTCACAAAGCTGGTTTAGAGGACCTTGATCCCTCCAAGAATTATCAGGTATTGAAGCAGAGGCAAGGTGCCAAAAGGACATAGTGGATCTGGCCCAAGACTCTTCTGCTGCATTTCAAAAGACAAAAGTAGCCCTGTGCCATCTGCTTGCTTCAGCACTTGGACTTCAAAACCGAAGTAGCCAAGGAAATCTTTCCGGCTTAGGAAAACAGTGGGGAGGAAGAGAGATCTTGGTGGCAGTGTATGCTGCCTTCACACAGAGCTTGCTGCATTTGAGGTATTAGAGAAGCTCTTTTTAACAAGCACCCTGGAAAAAAGTCATCTATTCACCCAGAATAAATTATATAAAGGGAGCAAGCTAGATTGGGAACAGAGAGGGATGATCTGCCGAGACTTCGAATCCCCTCAGCCCCCAGAAGCCAAAAGTGCCATTTTATTTCAGTGGTAGAGAATTTCCTGCCCTGTTGTTTTGAGGTTTTGTTGTTTGGGGTGTTTTTTTTTGTTTGATTGGGGTTTTTTTTGTTTTTTCTTTATTTTGTGGTTTTTTTTGTTTGTTTTTTTTTTTCCCTTTGTTTCACTTTGTTTTGTTTTTTGTGGTCTTTTTGTATTTAGTTTACCTAATGCCCTGGATTTCTTTTGTTGCAGAAAGAGGAAAAAGCCTTACAAAACAACAAAATATAAAAACGAAGTCAAATTACTTTGCTGAGCTCTTTCACACATCCAAAAGAAGCAGAGAAATGCAAGCTCTGGAAAGGATAAGGAATTTCCTAGAATGCAGCTATTCCTGAAGTTTCCAATTAATAAAGCCAAGCTTCAGCGTTTGCAGTAGTATCAATATATCTGTGGAATTAAGATGGCTTTCCTCTGGTTTTCCAGAGTGAGGTAAACTTGGCTTTCTACCTGTCTTCCTCCAGCCTCAGCTTTGCAGAGCTGGCAAGCAATACAAAAGAGGAGGAAAGACATGAACTAGGCCGTCTGTCGTTGGAGGGTATGAAAGACAGTCTGAATAACAGCAGGAGAGAGAGAAGCAGCCTATGGTTATTTTTGACAGAATTGGGAGAGACTCAGATTGCAGCTTCATAAACAGTTCATCAGAGAAAAAACTCGGTCCAAATTAGAGGAGCCCCTTTGGCCAAGCTCACAGAAATACACAACCCTTGCCTGAGAAGAGAGAAATCTTTCAAAAATCAAAATGCTTTTCTTTAAAGAGGAAAAACTAACTGCTTCCCCTGTGTGGTGTAGTAACACCAACTTGCATTCCTGTCATTACAACTCATGGCTTGCAGCATATTCAGAAAAAAATTTCTGTGTGACACCAGGCTGTGAATGTTCTGCCTTACACAGAGTCACAATCATGCAATGAAATGAAAAGCTGACTTTTTTTCTTCCTCACCCAACCATGAGGTCCCTTTGATGGACTGCTCTACAAAACTGGAGGTGATACAAAGGGTCAGCAAGCAGAAAAACGCCTGGCACAACCCAAATCCATCCAGCTCAAATTAAATAAAAATGGTTGTTTTGTGTGGGTATTTACACAGAAGAGGAGCATAGAATTTCACTCCACATCACACACGTGATTTTTAATGTTGTCCTGTACAGAGACAGGAGTTGGACTCTGTGATCCTTGTGGGTCCCTTCCAGCTCAGGATATTCTATGATTCTATGACCTCCAAACAAAAAATGAAAATTCAGTTTCTTTTTTAAATGCCTATTAGATAGTATAGGTGAAGTATTTGTCATGCATTGTGATTAAAAGAAGACTGTAGGATGTTTCTCAAGGCAATTTTCTGTTTGTTTCTAGCATTCTTAATAATCTCTCACACCGAATCCTTTGTGCAACTGGATTAAGAAAATAAAGATCATTCCTAGCCAAGAGATATCCACAAGAAACTCAAGAGGTTTTTAGCAACCTTACTGGCAGATTCAGCCAGGAGGAAGGATAGAGCCAGCATGGAGATACACTCCCCCAAAGCTTCCGAGGGAAAAGCTGACCACCAGAGGAGCTTGCTGCTGGTGCCAGAGAAAAGTAAGTCTGAAGGTGATTCTGCCTATCTTCAGGATTAATTTCATTTACTCATTAATTAACACATAATGCCTGAAGTGACAAGCATAATCTCTGCATAGCTGAAAAGAGTCCAAGCAAAAAGCATCCCCAAAACCCAGCCACCTTTCAAAAAGAATATTGTATATGGGGATTACAAACATTGATAATTAGTCTACAATGATTTGCATGATCTATGCTTCATCCTTATGCCTTCCAGCTGCCTGATGGACAGGTATAGTGATTCCCAGAAATGGGTATCAATGGGTTTCTTCTGTCTAACCACAATATCATTCTCACTTCATTTACTGCTTAGTGGGAAGGCATTGCTGTGACCCAGGAATCAGCTCCTTCCAGATGGACAAGTCTCAAAGTTCAGCATTTTAGTGATTTAAACTAAGGAGGAGTTTGCTCATCCATAGCAGCCTGGACTGCAGAAAATCCAGTTGTTTGACCTCTTAATGCTCTCCTATCCAGCATTACAAGAAAAAGACATTTGGTGAGGGCTCTGTGCTAACACAGTAGGGGAGTACATGCTACAATACATCAATCCTGGGAAATGAGGTGGGGGTATGGGCTGGAAGCAGAACTACACTGAAACACTCCAACCAGAAATACCTTCTGCTTCTGAATCACAGGATCATGGAATGCTTTGGGTTGGAACGGACCTTAAAGAGCACCTAACTCCAGCCCTCTTGCCACGGACAGGAACACTTTTCATTAGAGGAGGTGGTTCACACAATATAGCCTTGAACACTTCCAGGGATGGGGAAGTGGAAGAGTGATCCAGTACAAACACTTGATTAGCAGGAAGGTACAGTGAGCTGGACTCCCTCCCTGACACTGGTGTGAGATCAATGCACCAAGTCCTTTAACCAGAACTGAGAGATGCAAACAACCCAAAATAAACCATGGTCAGTCTATGCATCTGACTGCTCAAACTGGGCAGCAAAAAGAAGGCAGTGAGAGGTTCCTCTATCCAGTACCAGGAGAAAATGGAGATATGCTGAGCCTTGGCAGTGCTTTGCCCAAAAGCACAGGAGCACCCGAGGCTGAGCTGTGTGCCTCCCACAACGGCAGGCACCTCTCATCTCCAGCGAGGGCTGTTTTTGTTAACTTTGCTGGGAACCCACAAAATCATTCTGTGATATTCTCTATGGCATGTGTGCTCTGAAGGTTTTTAGAGTCAGTGGCAGGAGTGCAGTAAGAAGGAATAAGTGTCTAGCAACCTTACAGCCAGGCACACACATGCACATCCAGCTCTGCCTCTGAGCTACGCTAATTATTTCTAACGGTAGCAACGCACTCACGTACCAAGCCTGAATGAAAATATACAGCTAGGTAGGGAGGAAAATGCATTCTGTGAGCCAAAATACTCACTTTCAGTTTACACCTAAGCACGTGTCACACTTAAACAGCTATAATGCACAAAACTCTCATCACGTACCTAAATTTGCACAGATATATGTAGTGAAAGGAAGGAATATAGTTAGGAACAAATACTTCATGTGTGTATAGAAAAAATGCAGGAAGGAAAACTAACCCTTTCATTTAGAACAATATCAGTGCCAACATGACTGCAGAAAAAAACCAGATTTTGGAAAAAGGGCAGGGTGACTATTTGTAATTTTTATTGCTGCTGGAGCAATGATGTGGCAAGAACCCACCACCTTAATTTTTCCCTTCTGCATCCTTAAAATATTTCCCACCTGGGGTGCAAAGAGAGGAAATGAAAAGAAATAGAAAATTATATTTTTCATGAGTGAATCCTGGGAAGCAACCTCTCAGGTTTCCACATTTTTGGCAACAATAATTTAAACAAGGAGAGCGATAGTTTCTTATTTTTTGCACAGTTGTAATGCATACTTCCAGATAAAAGACAATTAAACTTCAGTTTAAGAAAAGGAGGAAGGCAATATTCGATAGGATTCATGAGTCCTCTCCTCTTAGGACTGCTGCATAGCTCAACACAGCATACTACAAAACTGAGAGCCCAGCTGCAAACCTCTTTGGAAATGCTGAAGGCAAGCAAGATCATCGGGAAAACAAGCAAACTGAAAGCAAAGAGAGCATTGCTACTGTACCTTTACTTTGGGGAGGGTTCTGACTTCTGTCTCGGAGAACATTAATCTGGTAGACAGCTCCATAAGGCTCAAAAAGTTCTTTTAATTCTTTTTCTGACCACGAACGGGGAATCTGTCCAACAAACATCTTAATGGCATCTGGGTCTGGTTGGTCTGAATGATCCAAAGCTCCATTCATCTTGTTAGCTGTGCCGTTACTAGAAAGTGGAAAAGGAGATTAAAAAGAGAAGACAAGTTAGGAGACTACGCAGTTTTTATGTGGACTAGATGCAGAAGATGATGTCAATTGGCACAAAGCAGAAAAAAAAAATCAGTGTTTAATTAATAGCATAAGTATTTCAAACAAAAAACAATGCTATTACATTTTTCATTGAGTCTGGTTTTCTCTGCAGGCTGCTGCTTAATGTCATTATATAAGATGAGAGCGGCACAACACAACCCAGGACTTCTGCATTTTAAAGTAGAGGATAGTGGCAAATAAGTGCAGATTTCTCTCCATGGCTGTTGTAAACAGAACTGCAGTGAATTCTCACTGAACTGGCTACTGGCAGAAACCAGGCAGTGCGTGTGTCTATGTGTGTGTGTGTTTTGTAATAAAGTCACATGAAAGGAGTATGAAACACTTGGCAATCTGTCAGATGACTAATGCAAGATGCCAGCGATGAATCTGCAGATTGTGTGAAGCATCCATGTGTGCATCAAATTAGTCTGATATTGCCTAGAATGGAAAACACTCCAGCTATGTGGCTGGTTGCTGCCGATTAGTTGCCTACGCTCTTTAAAAAGGAAAAGCAGTCTGGAGAGACCCAGTTTAAAGCATAGTGTTTATTGCTGCCATAAAAAAAAAAAGCACAAATCAAAAAGAGACGGCAGTGACAAAACTGCCTACATCGTTGTGGAAATGAAAATGCTGCTTCAGAAAGTTTTTTTGCCCTGTAAAAGGAGATCAAATTTTTGAACACTTTCACCCCCTGTAAATTCTTAGCCTATCTGATCTCCAGATGTACATCCTAAATCCAAATTCAAAACAATCACACATTTGCAGGGAACTTTGGAACAAAATAATCTGATAAGAGAGACAAATGATAGATCATGATTTAGGAGAATTCATACTCTTACACAGAAAGTACATAATTTTAAATAGTGAACAAAAGTAAAAATACATCACTTCCTCCCCCCTCCCCCCCTTGCATTATTGATAATTAAGGACAGTAGTTTCAACTAATTACTTGGCTAGAAATTCCAAAAGTGCTGATGATTTTTGGATGTTTCAGTTTCAAGAAAGAACACTAATGATGCATAAATTTTCAAGCATCCCCCCATCTTTCCACCAGGGAGAGGGGGCAAATGGCCTGTATGCAGCAATGTCAGAAGCTGATCACGGCAGAATTCAGGCATTTCAGAGCCACCTGCCACTTTCAAAAAAACTTGGCTTTAATTAGAATTTCTCTGTTTGATGATTGTTCAGGAGTGAATGCCCACCGGAGGACTTGGAAGAGCTCAGAATCTGCACAACCAGATGAAAATCATATTTTACATGTGGAAAAAAAAAAATCTAAGAGTGGCAAGAAGAAAACAACCCTGTGCAATTCCCCTGTCTCACAGCTATAACCTGTGTGAAGACAAATTATTTCGTTCCATGTGTTTCATCTCCTTGAAAGCATAATTCACATTAATATGTCCGTATTAACTTTAGCACTTTCCCTGCTTACAGGCAAGAAGGAGAAAGTTATACTAAAGGCACATTTTACAGCACCAGCAAGAAGTTTGATCATCCCTTGTGAAGTGCTTTCAACACGGTTCAGCAGACAACAGCATTTATCACTCTCATAAATGGCTAAAATTCCTATCTACTCTAACAGGAATCTTGCCTGAGTAAGAGACTCCAAGATTTGGTCCAAACTTTTACATTACATCTCATGTACAAATATCTTGTCTTGTAAATGCTCTTCATTATGAATAAGTTCTGTAGGTCATAAGTTCACCTGCAGGAACTGTGACTTCTCCAGGCCTTAGAAACTGCATTTCCATACAGTGACAACACTTCACCCTTGGCTTGGCTAAATCAAGCCATCCATCCCAACAACCACCCCCTTAAAATTGCCAAGAAACAGAAAAACCATGACTGACTCACTTGAGTGAAACTTCATGGGAACAACTTTCAAGACTTTCATGGAGCAGTAGGCACATATGTGACACTTAAACCTCTAAATAATCACTCAATTATTTCTTTTCAATTCCTATTCCTCTACATAAAACCCAATGTGTCAAACAGCCTCCCTACTAGGGAGGTTGAAAAATCCCTGACCCACAGCTTAAAATAACTGTGGAAAACGCTTATATGTTATTTTGAAAGAAAAGGTAGAAGTTTAGTTAAGCTCCCAGCTCTGCCCTGGGCTTGGTCAACTATTTTCTTTCATAAATTGGCTTGACTTTTCACTTCATTTATTCTCTGTGTTGTTTGTATTGAGTTCAGTTTTAAATTATGCCCTTCATCTGTTCTCTCTGTTGGATCCCTTCTTTAAGAAATCCATACACAATTGCTACTTAGCCCAGAATTACAGCTAGGGTTATGTTTAATAAAGAATAACAAGTTTATTCCTTTGCCTTTTCCTTTACCAAAACCACCTTTACCACCAAGAGCCCCACAATTTCCATTGCTAATCAGCCAATTTTTTAAGAAAGCACAAAGCCAAACACTAACACCTGTTTTCTCAGGTTAATGGCCTTATTAGCTTCAAGTTCTTGCTTTGAGCTAAAGGTTTAGGCACAGGCCAAGCTTTCTTCTAATTGCACAAAACGTTTAAGCCCTTTTTTTATTTTGTTGGGAGCAAAGTTGAATTACATTGATCATATTCTTTAAATGCTTTATTGGCTGAAGATGGTTAAAAGCTCTGACTCAAGGCATCAGTACCATACACTATGATGCAAAGCTCCAGGGGACAGGTTTTGTCACTCACTGCCTGCATTAACTTGAGTAAGTCATTAAAACTTCTCCAAACTAAGTTCCACCATCCATTGACAGCTCTGTCAATCCACTAACTCCTGCAGAGTTAGGGAAAAGCCAAGCATAATTTAGGCTTTTCTTTAAAATACTTTTATACCACAAGGTAGGGACTTGACTGAGCTGCCAACATTTTGGCGGTTTGACAGACAAGTTCAGGCCACAGAGAGGGCACTCATTTTTACAAACACAGCTGGGCTTCTTCCTAAACTGCACTGCCTTTGATCTCAGTGCAAACCAAGGCTCCCAGATACCTCAGAGTGGGAATCCAAGTCTCACTGTTGGGATTTTGAGGAGCTCATGAGCACTGTTGCAGCAATGACACTTGCAGTAGTATCCTCACCCAGCTTTGGCAGCTGGTGTAGGACTAGAGCCAGTGCAGACAAAATGAACAAATGAATAAATCAGCAGAGAGATAACATTGGGGGAAAACCACCTATTTTATAGATTCTATGGATCTGATCCCTGAAGTGCACTGGAAGGATCCACTGAGGAACAAAATTATACACCACACCTGCCCGAATGTTCAGTTTGTCACAGAACTTGTTGGGTCCATACAAAATCCAGCCAAATATGCTTGATCCTTTGCAAATGATCTCTTCTAAGATGAATTCCCTTATCCTCTCCCAGCTTTCATCTTCACCCAATGGACATTACTGCTCTGCACTAAGACCTCTTGGCTGCTAACAGCTGTAGGGTTTTTGCTTCTTTCTCATTGCCAACACAGTGGCTCTCAGAGGAAGTGGCTTCTTCCTTCCCCCATCTTCCCTTCTCCTGTACCCAAGAAGTAATAAGACAAAAGGGAAACTACATGTAAACCTTCCAGAAGGAAGCAAAGCAAGCCTTGTGAAAGCTTAGGACTATTTCTTGAAAGGACAAGTATACAGAGATAGCTGTATCTAGGGGACACTAATGAGAATGAGATTTCTTGGTACTTACTGTCAGCACCCAAATGATGATGAAAGAAATAAGGAAAAAAAAGAAAGAAAGAAAGAAAGAAAGAAAGAAAGAAAGAAAGAAAGAAAGAAAGAAAGAAAGAAAGAAAGAAAGAAAGAAAGAAAAAGAAAGAAAGAAAGAAAAAGAAAGAAAGAAAGAAAAGCTGTAGCAATCCTTCCCTCCATGGCAAATTTAGCCCATTGGACTCAGGGGTGACCCAGCACATCATCTTCACTGACAAGGTGTCATCTGTATCATAGAGAGCAGCCTAAGGGCAGAGATTAAGACACTGAGTCGCTGGCTGCTTGTGGTTGCTGCCAGAGCATCCTCTCTCTCAATTTGTGCCAATTTTTCTTCTAATAACCTAACTACCATTCCATCATTTCAGCAAGCTGACAGGGCCACTCTTGAGGAGCTAGAGATTGTTTTAATATCCCTCCTGCTTCAGCAGGAGTACCAGAAAAAACCTAGTAGATGCCCTCTTGGTCTCTCCCATTCATATCTTTAATTACTGCAGGACTGCTAAAGTGAACTGCCCACTCAGGACAGAGAGGTAGCCTTCAGAAACAACGTCTGAATCAAAACAGACTCTCTTAAATTCATCACTGTTAAGAGCTTTGGCATTAATCCACGTTCATTTCCATTAATGATCCCAGTGTCAAGTCAGGTGCTGAAAAACAGCTGTTAACGGGGACCAAACGGATTTACATGATACCTGTTTGCCAAATCTGTTTTTAACCCTACCCAGTACCTTCCTACTGTTCTTTTTTAGTGAATTCATATTGCAACCCTCACCCTATTATTGTGGTTTTACCATTTTGTTGGGGATTTGCCTTTTTCATGTTCCATAGTATAAGATATTTGAATTCCCTCTAAGAGCCAACAGAACAAGAACATGATAAAAAACGAGTTCCAAGTGTAATGACAACTAAATCCAACACAGTGCAGAGGTATTTACAGGCACCAAGGTTTTACAGTAAAACAGCATTTACATCTGAGCTGTGGCATCACTGCCAGGATATCACACAAAGTGACAAAAGGGACAACACCCGTTTGAAGGCTTCTGACTGCTGTCAAGAGAGACAGCCAAGCATCACCTTAATGTACTCCAAAGATCATAATTGCTGGTTTACGAGCAAATTTTGTCTGGAAGGACCCAAAAGGGCTTTATAAACTCATTGTTTAGAGAGGAATGACTTCATCGTAAGGTGACAGACGGCAGCTGTTTAATGACATGGAGCATTATCGCACAACAAT